TCATAACGAGCAGTGTTTGCTCACTTGGGCTCTCGGCGGCGCTGGGCAGAGCCTCGCGGCGCGACGGGAGGAGCGGGGGCCAGGGCAGGTGCTGCCCCAGCGCGCTCCTTCTGCGCGGGGCTGCACCCTAAAACCGGCCGTTTGGGTGAACGCTTCATCGGGCTCTAGCGCGGTTAGTGCTGCCGAACCAGGATCTCCCAGCACTCACTCCCATTCCAAAGGCATTGGTTTTTTTTCCTTTTAATTTATCAGCATCCTTTCCAACTAACGCCTCACCAACAACAGTGACTTGTACATGAAAAACATGAATTTTACATCTCTAGCATTTTCTTTTTTCTTCTCTCTCTTTAAATGAACTCGCTGCCTAACATTCACATTAAATCAGAGGCAGAGCCACTAGGAGAAAGGGACCAAGATAATGCGAAAAAAGAAGAAAAATAAGAAACAAGAAAGAGGGAGATCAACGGACACATCCTTAAGCATTACTGCTGCATCACAGGCTATTTCTGCCTCCTTTCACGCAGAGGAGCTGCAGGCTCCAGCAGCAGAGCAGGCGGCTCGGACGCTCCCTGGGCAGCTCACATTAGCTGCCCAGCAGCAGGAACGCTCTGATGAGTCAGGCCCATTACCTCACATACACGAGGTCTGAATTCCGACGCCTCCTTCCCCAGCCGAGCCTCAAGCAGCGTGTCCCAGCTAGCCTGTAGTTGCCACACAGCTGTGGGGACGCAGCCTCCGGACCTTTCAGGCAGTGACTACACCCTTTCTGGAAGCCTCCCCTGACCCCATTAGTGGCTCTCGCTCCTCCAGAGCTCTTCCCACAGCAGCAGAGGAAGCGCAAGCGCCCGAAGGAGAAGGAGCGGGAAGGACAAGGCTCCTGTCTGTTTCGTGAGGGTCTCTATTTTGGGGCAAACACTGAGACCACCCAAGTGGCAATGGCCAATTCTTGACCCATTTGTGGCCGTGCTGACACCACCAACCACGCTACTGGGTATCCCCACACTATCCAGGTGCTGCACTGAGACACTGTCTCTGCGCATGGTCACCACTTAGCTCTCACATCATCATCCTCCTCAGCTACACTCAAAAGCTCGATCCAAACCAGCTGTCGAGTCACAATTGCCGCCCTCGTCAATCCCTGCAGGAAGGGAGGCTGCAGGAGCGCGGTGGGAGAGACAGCGGGCAGCCCTCTCCAGGCAGGCCTGTGCGCTGCCGGCAGCAGCGCCCTGCTCTGCGCTCGTGGCCTCGGTGACCCGCAGCTCGCCGCTCCGCTCGCCCCTTTCCTTCCTCAGGGCAGCCCAGGCCGCTCCGCCGTGCCAGAGGTGGCACCTCAGAGGGAAGCGCTGGCTCCAAGCGAGTGGGAGCAGCAGGAGACACGGCTCCGGGGCGGCCAGGGACACCCGAGTGCCTGGGACTGCGGGAGCCAGCACCCCCGTGCACCTCACCCACAACAAGGGCAGAAGAGCAACACATTTTCATTAAAGTAGGCCAAATTATGTGCAAGAACACCGAAATACAGCCTGAGAAAGGAAAAAAAGGAAAAAAAAAAAAAAACATGTTAATACAGTAGCTAGGGCAACAAGAGCCTCGCACAGCTATGTCCAACACTACGGGCACATTCTCCAGCTCTTTGTGCCTCTGCCTGATCGATGTTYTGTCACAACTTGTGCCCTGAAAACCTCCTGTATGTGACTGGAAAATAAATCTTGGGATGCTGTCCCAAGTCAGTCTAGCAGCTGGAAATCTGCTAGGAGAAACCGCGGGTTTCATTCCCCCCCAGCACGTTCCAGTGCTGCTTTGAGGGATACGATACTATATGTGCTTCCCTTTTGTCAAAAAATACAGCAAACAAAAATAAAACAAAGCCCACACCCCACTGACCCAAACAAATCTTCCTTGGAAATATTGCCAAGGGCTGCCTGCTTTAATGGAAATCCTGCCAAGCACAGGCCAAACAAAGCAATCTCCCAGCTTCTGCAGCCTAGAATCACGCTGCTGCCAAGCGTGAGCAGTTTTCATTCAGCATGGGAGAAAAAAAAAAAAAACCTCTTTAATTAATGGCTTGCAAAGTTATTTCAAGCCACTCTTTTCCTGATTAGCGYGTTTCCAGTTTCTCTTTCAGTTGTGCATATTGATTTTTAAATCTGTTAAGAGAGGCAGGCTGTATACAAGAGACTTTTCCTCTCCACTGGTTATCGGGGTCAGAAACTCGGCAGGCTTAAGGGTCACAGCAAAGGGCACAGGGAGCCGCCGCGACTAAAGAACCAGCATCACTGCACGGAGCAATTTAATTATAGCAGACAATGCAGAGATGCCCCCAGCAAGCGTGCTGCCAGCTTCGCTCCCACACAATGYTCCGAATCTTAGCCCTAATGGAAACCTTGAAAACCTATTTGTAAAAAGACTCAACGTCTATGAAGCATCCATACTAGTCCCACTGCAAAACCTGACATCTGAAAATACTCAGTGTCTGTTGTGGACTTTTATGTCCCTGATTGGCAGCATTATTTCCCCTTTCAGCCCTGCCTCTCCAGGCAGCAGCCATTACAGGAAGAGAAACGCTGTTGACATCTGTGCCCCGAACGCGCCGCAACCGCAGCGCGTGCAGAGCTCATCAGCCGCGTGGCGCAGGCACCTCGTCACCTTCGAACCCCTGAAACAATGTGCAGCCCCGCAGACCACAGTACTTACTGTATAATAGCACGTATTCATATATGTATCACGTATACGTTACGTCCCGCATTTTTCTCCCTAATGCACCAAAACACATACTAAGCTACATTTTCTTCTACAGTTTAGCTAATCACAGCACCCTTCTGCTTCCCCAGGAAAGTACTACTCATTCATTTTCCAGCTTGTGCATACCTGGGCATGGCTACTAGATGACTGAATCCCCCCAAACCAGCCATCTATGATATCTGTTTTGGTGCCACAAAGATTCAGGAGAGATAAAAACAGATCAAAGAGAAGAAGCAATTAGCAATTTCTCCRGAGATCTCCTTGCAATGACTCTTCCAGGACACAGGAGCTGCTGAGCTGGCTAATGACAGCCGTTAAACTCATAATTGGTTGCCACCCTGTCAGCCCGTCRCAGCAGGCCCAACTTAGATAATTCAATAGAAGGCGTCAAAACTGCTTGCGTCTGCTGCAGGAACTCCAGGTGTACTAAATGTTACTCTTCTCCTTCCAAAAGCCACTCATCACTTTTATTTCTTCTCACAACACCCGCATGAAAGGAATGAGAGCGTCTCAAACGCTCAGTCTGGAATGCTCTTCCAGCTGACCAGCTCAAGGTCCGTCTCTCACACTGTGACCAGCACCACTGCTTCTGCAGCCCAGGAGGAGCTGCATTCAATTATCTCCTAGTTGCTAAAGAATTACCTTCCCCCCCCCCAAAAAAAAAGCTACAGTCACAGAATTATTCTGTATCCTATCAGCTAGCTACATAACCAACTGCTTATCATAGTCACCCACAGAGGAGCTTGTAAAAGTTTTCATTTTAGGCTTACAATCACTAAAAGCATTCAATTCCAACATGGATTTCCAGTTCTGGAAATCTTCAGCAGTGATTTCCATTCAAGTAACTAAAAACATCTTGCCCATGTCAGGAAGAGAGTTTTAATGGAAAAAAAAAAAAAAAAAAACTTTTTTTTTTGCAAAAATGTCTATTTTCCACAAGAAAACTGACATCACCCACTTCCCCTCCTGGTGGGTTGCTGAGCTCTCACTGGGAGCTCCCAGACAGAGTGACTTCCCTATCACGCAGAGGAGCCTACGTGTGACGAGGGCAGCTCTGCAATGGCAAAGTGCAGGAGAAACACCCCAGCRCCTCGCAGACTGGCTCAGCCTTACCTTGTGTAAAGCAACCTGCAGCTCCAAGGAAATAGGGTCAAGCAGTTGAAACATGACAGTATCTAAAAAGAAAATCATCTTCAACTACTGTGACTCACTGAGCTGGACTGAAATCCACCATTCAGCATGTTTTAGACTGCTCTTGGAATCCGCTACGGACTAATGCTGGGTTTGGGGTGGGGAGCTTTTCTTTCAAGCTCTTCTTAAAAGTTGGGAAATAAAGACAGGGTTGTATGTGCTTGCAGGAACTGGTTTGCTGGCTAAGCAGACCAGCATGGATCCACTCCAGGTCTGCTATCCCACAGTCGAGGCCCAAGGAATTAAAGAGTTAGACTGACTCACACCATCACCTGTCACAGCTTATCCACCAAATCTCCCCCTCAGTTATACCCTAAAGAGGCAGTTTTGAACCTCCTCTTTTCCACAAAGCTAACCTACRTTTTCCAGAAAGACTCATCTTAAGACTTTTCAGTGCCTCACAAATTTTTGCCACCAAATATTATCCACATAATGGCCACCTGGGTAACTTCCTTCTGGGAGGGAACAGCTACCTACCAAACTGGTGGATTATCTCAACTCCAAGAGACAAATACTCAATGCTTCAAAGGAAAATACATAAAATCTCAGATGGAATAACTGTGGAGTAACTGTTCACCATCTATGTTTTACAGCCTTTTAAAAATTTTACCTAGTCTATATTTTATCAATTGTTTGAACTCTTAAAAGCTATCTTTTCTGTAACATGCAGACTCTTGTTAAGCTAGAGATACTGTACCTAACTGCACTGTTCAAAATATTTTAAGCTAAGAGTCACATTCCTGCCAAATGACCTGGAACACAAGGCAGCACTGCTCCAGAATGAGTAGCTGTTTAACTCGCACAGGAAGCTTACCAGGAAGATCTCAGCCTTTAGCCATTGTGGTCCAGCACCTTGGTTCCATGGATGGAAGTGGCTGGACTCACTATATCYTTGAATTAGTTACATGCGGATATAACACTTGATTGAAGTCTCRGGGGACAAAACTCACCTTACCAGTTGCTAGTGATAAGCAGATACTGATCAAGCCCAGCATCTTCCTTAACGCCACACAGGCCAAGAATGTCTAATCACAATACGAGCTGTGATATGCACGGTCATCTTCCCTTACCTCTTTCAGCTCCTGGGCAACAGAATTAAGGCGCTCGTTTTCAGACTGGGTGTTGGCAAGGACGTTTCTCAGCTGCTTCAGTTCTGTCTGCAGCTCCATAACTTTCTTCATGTAGTACTCTTCCTTAGTAGCCGATTCCTGAATCAAGGTCTCCTCTCTGCTCTCTCCATCTGCTGCTACCTTCTTGTGGTTGGTATGGGCCTGCCCAAAAGCCTAGGAGAGTTAGAAAACAATTCTTATTAGTAAATGCAGATTTTTAAATTGAAATTATTTACCTCAATCAGACTTTTAGATGMTGCACAAAGGGTCAACACAGGCCTCTTGCAAGTCACATGAATCACCYAGACAGACATCCTACATGGGACACRCAGGTAGTGTCCATAAAAACCGCCTAGGAGGAAGCAACAAGCTACTGACTGGACAGTGCTGTTAAAGACAGACTGTGTTTTCAACACACAAACTGAGATGAACAGACATTTCTACAGGCACCTATTCCCTACAGGTGGTCAGATGTATTTCTGCAAAGCCCCAGTCACTGAAAGGGATTTCGCATTAGCGGCTCATCGCGGCACTCGGCCTGCACGCGCCTCCTCCTCCTCCCGATCCCGATCCCCATGAGGAGCGCAGGGCATTCCTGCTCCTCCCGGGAGGGGGCTCAGWGCCCATCGCAGCTCCTCACCCCTGCAGCCCCTCCGGCTGCACGCGCACAACTGCCTTCTGCAGCAGGGCATGCACCTTGTCTGACTYGATGTGCATCTTTTTACTATCTATTATTTCCTCCGTGTTTCTGGGRGTTCTCATGATGTTTCCAGCTCTGCCCAGGGATGCTTTCATTAGTGCCCTCCAATGCACAAGCAAGCGCTTGGACAGACACCCCACTGCTGGAGCATCCTTAAAGTGCCCTGCTGCACCTTCCACTAAKAGTTGTTCCAAAGCAAAAAATGCAACATTAAGTAGGCACCTACGCGTAAGGGAGTCTGCCTGGCAGATGGACTGAAGCCAACGAGATTAATGACTGCTACCTTTAAACGGAACGTGCAAGGCGGACGCGGCGCTCCCAGGGGCCACGGCAGCTCTCCAGGTGCCAGTGCCCACACAGCACATTCTCACTGCCAACACCGACACTGTGCATTAAGGCAAGTCAAGCACAGAGCAATAATACTCACTTAGTGATGTATTACGATTTTGATAACCATCTTTTGCTAATTCTTTAGAACTACACTGTCGACGCAGGGAAAAAAAATCTGCTTTGAACACAAGCAGTTTGCAGTATTTTATTGCTTCTCCATATCAGAGCAGAGGCATTAATGACATCGTGATATATATAAAATATACCAGAGGTGAAASAAGCCACAGAACAGACCAGCTTATGCTACTGTAAGAGGTACCCACATGCTGCTGCTATCAGATTGAATTTAGTTTCAGAGAAGCAAATCGGAGAAATAGAAGACAAATATCTATGGGAGAAATGCAGCCAGATTCACTGAGCRCACCCAAGGGAAATTACAAAGCGTCACGTTTCAGACGGAAGTTAAGCACCATCTGTGCGAGTCGCTGTCAAATGAGTTTCAACAAAGCAGCTTAAAGGCCTAATACCCAACATCTCCATAAATGTTAAAGGGGTAGCAAAAGAAGACCCTCTCAAACAAATGAACTCAAACTACATAAGAACTTCTCAAACATACTATCGTTTTGCATAAAGAATTAGTATCTATGTTTTGCAGACCTGTATTTTTTTGCATCTGTGACAAGGACGCTCGCCCAGCGGAGCGGCACCGTTTTCCTGCCAATATTGGGCCTATTGTAAATTCAGGCTACTCAAAGCCCCATCTGATCAGCCACCAAGCGTGATTCAGTCATGTAATTTAGTAATTCATTCAGGAATAAGTTATTCAGAGTAATGATTATATGCTTTTAAAACTTTAGATGCAGATGCTAAACCTCGGGCCTAACAACTGAAGAAAGAATTTCACCATTTGCTGCAGCCACTACTGAYAGGGAGGATTTGAACACAAAACCTGATATTCTGCATGAAACCAGGCATTTTTAATCCAATATCCTGCCTCCTACATCCTACAGATGCTTCAGAGAAAGGTGCGAAAAACCCCCAACCTTCCAGAAATGGTGACTGTCTTAAGCTTCAAAGCAAAGGCTTAATACAAGTTTRGAGGATCTATTAAAATTTAGTTATCCATGCAAAATATCCATTTGATTTTCTTGTCTTTATGTCCTTATTTGGCTTCAATAATACCCTACAGCAATAAATACCATGTCTTAAAACATATTCTAACACAACAATTTTCTTCTTTGTCAGCTTATGCTGTTGTCGTGTTTTATTAAATAAAAAAAAGAACATTTTTTGGTCTGTTGAGGTTAGAAGGACAAGCTAAGCGCGAGGCCGGCTCCCGCGCGCGGCCCTTCGCGGTGCCCAAGCAGGAGCAGGTTCTGCTCCCGGGGCCGGCTCCGTGCCCAGCCCCACGCGGCTGGCGGCACCGGCGCTGCACCTGAGCAGAGCAGCTCGGGCAGCAAGCCAGAATCCTGCTCGCAAGCGGCTCTCAAATGGGATCATGCAAGATTCATTCTGCTCCCTCTAAATGAAAATCCCCCATTTTTAAGCTTTCCTCCTAGCAACTTCACTTTGATTATCAGTATGTCTCATCAACATTAAACTAATCAGGGCATATTAATAAGCATCAGAAGATTAATTAGCACTAAAAGACACTCAGATTTCTGTTCTTGCTTCTGTAGTTTCAGCTTCTGGATTTAATTAGAAAATTTTAGCACCATTTCACCTCTTCATTTTTTCTGCTTATCAGACTCAAAATAAAAGACGCTTTCCAAGGCTTCACCAGGCCACAGGCACTATACAGCAGCAAATTCATCACAGCCATGACCATCTAAAATAATGAGAGCAAAGTGTAGGAGCACTGTCCAAGGGATGCCCGGAGAGCACAGACTTATTAAAGGAGGCGTTCAGGTCTCCTTGCACAAGGGGTCCCTGTGTTTTGCTTTCAGCGCCCGTGGCCGAGCRCTCGCTCGCGGGTCCCTCAGCGCCGCCAACAAGCAGCACTTTGAGCCGGGGCTCCGGGTGCGCGGGCAGGGCCCCGCTGGCAGGGCCGCCGCGTCGGCCCGGCTCGTGCCCAGCTGCAAGGGCTGCTCGCGGCGGCACCGCCAGGCACCGGCGCCACGAGAGCCTCCTGCAAGGGCCGCGGGAGCCGGCTCGGCTGCTTCGCAGGATCACGCGGGTCCCCTCAGCCGCTACAGGGGCATTCCGACAGGGATTTACAGGGAATYTTATTTTTATGGTCAAAACCACACTGGAGTGTGTATTTTGGATATGCTGGTTCAGCGCGCCAGGTCTGCAATGAGGAGGTTTGTAGCAGCTACATGAGAGACTAAGCTGGACTTAGGCCTAGGCACGGGCTACACAAGGCACGTCYGTCTGGGCAGCGGGAGCGCTGAGCGGAGCGGTGCCTAAAGCAGCGGCTGCAGGACCAACCTGCCCCTTGTTACTGATGCTCGTGGCCAGACGCCGGCCCTCCTGCAGACAGCTGCCAAGAGGCTGCACCCCCTCTCCCCTCCTAATAAATACTCCTGTGGCTTGAACCCCCCTCATGTCTCCCAAAACAAGGGAGGGACCTGGGGGATCAAACACAGGCCCAAGGAAAGTGGTTGAGACCTGTAAAGCAGCTGAGCACCCTCGGAGATACCCCACTTAAAATGGTCGGCATTTGACGTTGCAGACACGGGCGCTTGATTTCCAGTGTTTTCCAATTGTTTAATGGTTTTATGTAGGACACTCATGGAAGCGTGAAGCAAGAAGGCTTGCCACTCCAAAGGGATTGTGGCAGCAGAGAATTTGGCTCCAGGCGTGGAAACCACTGAAGCAGCTAAGCACCAGTTTGCTTCCAAGCCAGGGCGTGTGACAAGGTGTTGGCGTGGCGGCCGGAGCCGGGGGAGCAGGAATGCCCGGGCCGCAGCGSGAGCGGCGGGGGGGCAGCGGGCTCCTCCAGCGCCTCCCCGCGCACCCCGGCCCTGCGCCTCCTTGCGAGGGGTCCAGCCTCACGGCAGCTTCAGCCCCCTGCTCGCCAGCAAAGCCCAGACCGGAGCYTGCAGAGCAGCAGCAGCCTGTTGCCATCGGGAGCGCTTGGGCAGCACAGTCTAAGCAAGCACAGGCACAAGCAGCAGAGCRCCCTGCTTTCATTAAGCACTTTTTTTCTCTCAGCAACAAGTAGTAAGAATTCGAAGCTAACAGCTACAAATTACAACAGAAATTGCATAACAACTGTATTTGAAAGCAGAGACAGGAGGAAAAAACAAACAAACAAAACACCCTTAACCAGATAGTTTTGCAATGCAGAAGGGCACGAGCTGGAACAGAGAACTGCGAGGCGCAAGTTCACAGCTTGAAGGTGACACCAGGCACGGCCAGCCCTAGCTCTGTGCTAGGCAGAGCACAGATCAAAGAGGTGCTCACTGTGACTGGCTGCCTGTATTGCTCTGCTCATGCACCCGTACGCTGGCTGCAAGGGATTATATTGTATATAATGGGGCACTAAATAATAAAACACACTCTTGCAGAAGGCTTTTGGATTTCATACAAGGTATGAGACATAAGGTGTTTTGAMCTAGGTGCCTATGACAAGGGAGAGAAAATACAGTTTGGGTAACAAATTCATGCTCCAAGTCTCAGAGCCTCATAGACCTGCCTGCTGGCAGCAAGCACTGAATCTGGAAGGCAGCTCCTGCACCGGCCTCCTCTCAGACAAGCAGCCCTCGGCAAGGGGCAAGCAAAGTGCTAGGAGCCACACACGGCTGGGAGTCGAGAGGCTGCATTCTGCTCCCAATGGATTTGGCATGGGATCCTGGGGACAGCCACTTCGGCATCTGCTGCTCCACTTGTCCCATCTAGCACAAGGAAACAACACTCCCCATATCAAAAATCATCATATCCAAAGGCAGACAATGCCAGCTAGTCCAAAATGTATTTAACTCAAAAGGATTTAAACCATCAACACAGATGGACATACGACACCTCTGCCCTCCGTGTCTAGCAAAGGGCAGTGCTAATGGCCATCTCCTCACAAGCAGAAGCTACAGAACCAGCGTATTTATGTTACTCCACCCAGTACCAGAATGACAGAGCTATTATCCAAGGGACAGTACTTTTCATTCCCATTTGATCTTCTGTCCTTCTGCAGACAACATCACTA